TAACTTACTTGGAGCAAACACTCTGGATGTGGCTGAGTACAGTGATTACATGGAACCATCCTCCATTCACACGAAATGGTCATGTGTTCCTCAAGATCTTTTCTTGTTGTTTTCACTTGACAGTTAGCATTTGGGCAGGGCACAAGTTTGAAAGAACAAGATAACAGGTGGTCCTGATGAAATCAATGTAAAAAAGCATTGAAAAAACTATCATCGACAGTATTAAGAAGAAGATTGAGAAAGATTGAGACAGATTGAAAATGTGGTGTTTTGAAACTTGTTGGCCTGACAGTTTTTCAAAGTTCATTTTTGTTGTTTGTAACGAGTGTTAAAATGCTTGGGAGACAAATTTTGACCGACAAAGGCTTTAATTTTGTCGTTAACGGGTAATTCCGCAAGTTTCTTTGCGAATAAGGATGAGTAACTTTCATTAGCAGTAGCACAGCACCTTTAAGGACGTAATTTCAACCCTTTCTTAAAAAGAGTAGCGAGTATACTCCAAGACTTTAGGAATAGGATCTCTTGCAGTCAAGATATCGACTGTGTCCTCTTCCAGTCCATTTCCTTCACACTACATGTAGGTTTTGAAATCAAAGGACGTCATTTAAAAAACTAAAATAGATTACGTGCACTGCAAAGGCACTCTGCTCATTGAGACGCGATAATTGCTACGAAAGACTGCACTTAGGGTACTGAGATTCACATGGGGACGACTTGACTGGTAGTTCCGGCCGCCATGCTATTAATCATGATAAACAAGTCAATCGTACACAACAAATACGAACTTACTGGAAAAAACAGTTCAGTAATAGTGCTTATTAGAAAAAATAGAATAAAAGTTATCATAGCAACTTAATAATCCCTTGCAAATACCCTTAATTTTAGTTTTAAGCTCGTGTAACAGACTACAAGTCAGTATATTCTTGTTACCGAATCGTATTAAGCAAACAATTTACCTTTGTGAAAATACTATTTTTCTACGAAAGGTCTAAGAGCCACCTCAGCTAAGTTTTCGAAAAGATATGGTAATGTAAAATTTGTCAAAAATATACAATAAAATAATGCGCTCTATCAGAAAACAGTCTTCTTAGTGGGTGGCAATAAGACATCATTAGATGAATGTGTAAGCTAATAAAGTGTAAATAGCGGGAGCGTTTGTTACCTCCTTCCCTCTCAGTTCACCAGTCCAGTCACAACCAGCACTGGGGCATAATATAACAAGTGAAAGAATCTTCCTTTCTGTTGCTTTGTCAGGAAAAATGTCCTGTGAAAAAGTGGCAAAGTATACTATCATTCATTCAAAAAAGTTCTCCGTTTCTAATTGTCTTAGATCCTCCTGCTATTTCTTCTTAACGAGCTACGTGACCATTGGTCAAATTTGGAAGATTTCGCCGTTTTTGAAAATAAGTTATTTGGTCCTTAACGAAGAAGAAAGAAAAAAAGAAAGAAAAGCTAACGGAATCATTACACTTGAAGGTGAAAATGACAGTCTCAGGAAAATCGATCACTGATGTTTCGCATAACAAAATCACCGTCGCCGGAAACCCCAAATCAGCTCTAAATGAAAACCTACCGACTCTCCGCAATTATTCTTCACTCGTAGTTTAATTTAACATTTCATAGTTTCCAAGACAAGGCCCGGGAATCTTGCTGTTTACGATAAAGATCGTCGAAATTTTTGAACTCCACGCAAGCGATCCGCTGAATATCAAATAATAGTCACGCTAAAATTCCTCATAATTATACATAATTATGCAAATGAGTGGACAATCAACCAATCAAAATCACTACCCGGTTTTCGAGTAGTGGCGTCACTGGACGGCATTGACGGTCAGTCGATGCAGACACGATATAAATGATTATGCAGAACGAGGAAGTTGCAGTTTTAGTTCCGCCGAAGCCGAAGGGCTCCCTGGCTAACCCTAACCCTCATCAATCTATATAAATCTTCACATTATACTGAGAATGTATCCAATAATCGCTTAATTTGCTGCATAAGTTTGTTTTGATCAAAAAAAAATTTATTTCAGCCTATTTTCGTGTGGTAAAAAAATGACAGTGATAATAAAGAAATTTTCAACAATGACTGGTAAAAGCTTCTACAAAATTATCTAAATTATCTAAATTACTAACATTACTTTGCAAAAATCAATAGGTTGAACATTTTTATTATTTTCTAAGAGTTTTGCTTTACCTTCATTGCAAATGGTGAATTATTAACAATTATATACCTTATTGGAAACGAGTTCCTCTCTGTCAACAGGGCATTTGCAAACATTCGGCTGATCGGCTTCTTGCCTGAAAATATAAAATGCAATTGGCAACAGATATTAGGGTCGCTGCGCGTTCAACTTATCGTACTCTGCAATAACAAATATAGGGGAAAGGTTCATGCAGTGGTAAATTACTCCATTCCCCCTCAGTGAAGTTCACTCGAACCCTAAAGCTACGTCAAATGTAGATTGAGTTTGTTGTTGGTCCTTTCCATTGCTTTGAGAGGTTCTTCTCCTTTATTCCAGTTTTCCCAGTAACCAACCGATCAGTATCAAATTCAAATCTCAATCTAGAAACTGAAAAAGGGGTTCAACTTTTGAAAAATGGAATCTTAGGGGGTACGCTTGACCTGGCTGGACTGAAAATAAACTATCTTTTGTTGCCCCTTCTTTCAAACACAGCTTGCCGCTGTTGTCCAAAGGATAATCGTCTAATAATGTACGCCAAAAAAATATCAATTCTGGCCGCAGACCACAGAAGTGTTATTTTCCTCGACGACTTCGATAAAGCCGACGAAGAAGAGCGACGACACTCTCTCTTGCAATATCCAAACGAAATTACGAAAATAGTTGAGAGAAAGCAAATATTGGAAGTTTCTGACAACACAACAACTGTGGCTCCACTCCCCTATCAATGGCAGCGTCGAAAGAAAACAAATTACCTCCTTCATTTTCGAGCGTTTAAATCACAAAAATTTCTCCATGAATCCAGCCGTGATAAGATCTCAGGAACACGTTAAACAACTGTCAAGTGTCATTTAAAGTACTCGCAAAATTACAGCCCAACCAGCTGCATCGTACACTTACAAATCGCTACTGTAGTACGTACAATGAAATAGTAATCGGTGGGATTATTAGTATTATTAAGCATAAAGGTATTTCCGTCGCTCATGTCATATGATTTGTGTGTTCCAACAATTATTTGTTTCTTCCGCGGTTTGTCATGGAAAACTTGCAAGGCTTCAGCTTATCAATTAATGTAGCTGCCGTTCGTAAGAGTTTACTAATGCTACAAATATTTCGAGTGTGCTATACAATTGCAATTTCGCGATTTTTATCCCCTTCTCACTGCCGTAACTGTACATAATCTCTGATTTGTCTCGACAAGTGGTTAGTTTAAGAAAGCACTTTTTTTTTCATTTCATTGTACGTAAAATGAGCCGGACTTGGCCTTAATCCAAATCCATTGAGATTTCAAAGAGGCATGGAAAATCGAGCGAGAGTGGCAGAAGTCGACACTTAAATAAAGACTGAAACCATACATAGTGCCACTATCCTTTGATATTTTTAATCCTGACTTTTCATGTGTTCATTTTTAAAACGATAATTTATTTTTAGTAGTTGAAGAAGTACCTCTCACTCCCTGCTATTTAACAGCTCCGTTAAATTTCTATTCATTTTATTGATAGCATGATTTGTAGTGATACTTGGCATAAATACCACGAGTGATATTTCGAAATTGTTAAACGTAATTTTACGAGCCGTTAGGCAAGTGAAATTTGAGACAATTTTGAAATATCACGAGTGGCATTTATGCCAAATATCACATACAGTCTAATTGCCAATTTAGCTTCTAATTACTGTAGGCTCAGTGTTGTCCCCGTTACTAAATGGATGCTTAAAATGAAGGATTTGTGGACCGGGTGTTTTTAGGAATTGTGACTGGGATTGTGGTAGTTCCAAAGCCAGCTGGGTATGATTATAAAGCAGCTATAATTCAGTTCTAAAACTGGAATGATAAAATAAACTGCTTCAAAGGGTGGATGTATCACTATTCACTGAAAAAACAATTGCCGTTCACACTGATTTGGTAAATACTAATGAGTGATATTTCACGCCGCTCCCGACACAGCATATGTCAATCTTTTTTTTCCCCGCGTGAATTTATAAAATGATTCAAATCCTTTCACACGAAACAAGTCGACCTCGAGACTTCGTCGCTCGCTCGGTTGCTGCGCGACCTCATGCATTGTAGCTCGCTTCACTCACTTATAAGAACTTTTGAGAGGTCAACTTGTAGCAAGTCTAGATACATGTAAGTTGCAGGCATTGTGAACATGGCTAGATATCGAGAGCAAATTAAAAAAAAGTCTAAAAACTGTGAAGTAGATGAAGATTGACAATAACTTTATTACCTGTGGCCACATCAAGTGACAAACTATCCTAACTGAACAAGGAACTGCTATATTTCATGTTATTTGCCATACAGCCAGTGTTTCCTCAAATTTCTTTAAATAAATAGTGTTTTATGATTTTTATGGTTCTTTTTTTCAGGAAAATTAGACTTGACAGGGTTCAGTCAAAATGTACGTAGATAGAAAAACAATAGTCAAAAGCCTCATGAAGATTTGTAACAAAACTGACGATAACTGACGGTCAGTCGCGTGCTTAGGCTTCTGCCGGTTTCAGCAATGTAAGAAGCCTGGCAGTCGCTGCATTTGATCTTGTATAGCGCTCCCTATCTGTCCTCCAGTTTGTCTTTGTCCTTGACATTAGTAAGCAGTTGCCGTAAAGTGGTTATCGGTTGCGTGCAACACGTATATTGTAAGGTTGTAATATACGTGCAATAGTTTCAGAGGTGCCTCAGATGTACGGTTTTGTCGCTGTCGTAACACGGCCAGAGTTGGTCTGAGTGTTGGTATCAGTGTAACTGTGAGCGTTCCGTCTAACAAAGTTCGTATTGTAATTGTTCTTACTAAAAACGTTGTTAAGATAATCAGTCTCGTCTTATAGGCTGTAAGGTGAGTCGCAAACTAGTTGCACTCGTCTCGTCAGAGTCCGGATAGTAGTAGCCTTGTGAGAGGTCGGGTTGTACGAAGACTGGTCTAGTAATCGTTCGGTTTGTGTCGGTTTTCTGTAAATAGTCGTTTTTAGTTCGTTATTGTCGCGAGTGACCAAGCAGTCTAGAAAAGGTATCTTACCATTTTCTTCGATCTCCTTGGTGAACTGTATGTCCGCGTTCTGTCTGTTAAGGTGTTCGTGAAAATCATCGATTCCGTCTTTGTGTACGGCGGTGAATGTGTCGTCAACGTAACGTAACCAAAGAGGTACGGTTCGCGTGTAGGTAGCTAGGGCTTGTTCCTCGATGTTTTGCATGACAATTTCTGCTACAACAACAGAAAATGGAGAGCCCATAGCTGTACAGTGTAACTGTTTGAAGTGTTTGCCGTTGTACTGAAACTTCGTCGAAGTCAAACAGAGGTTGAGTAGGTCCAAAATGTCGTCTGTAGGTGGTGGCAGTTCAACAGTAGAGTTCTTAATAGCGTTCTTAGTACAGTCTAGAGCCAGTTGAAGTGGAATACTGGTGAACAGCGATTTCACGTCAAAGGACACTAGTTTGTGGTCGTCCGGTATCTGTATTGTCTTAATGGCGTCAAAAAAAAGTTCTCAGTAGACTGTAGTTTGTGTCTAGATTCGTCAGTCACCGGTTTCAGTACGTTAGTTAAGTATTTAGACGGTTGGTAGGTTGGGGACCCACAGAAAGAAACTATGGGCCGCATAGGTATGTTGGGTTTGTGTAGTTTTGGTAGTCCATACAGCTTGGGTGGCTGCGGAACACTACACCTCAGTCTGTTGTAGCGTCGAAAGNTCTGTCTGTTAAGGTGTTCGTGAAAATCATCGATTCCGTCTTTGTGTACGGCGGTGAATGTGTCGTCAACGTAACGTAACCAAAGAGGTACGGTTCGCGTGTAGGTAGCTAGGGCTTGTTCCTCGATGTTTTGCATGACAATTTCTGCTACAACAACAGAAAATGGAGAGCCCATAGCTGTACAGTGTAACTGTTTGAAGTGTTTGCCGTTGTACTGAAACTTCGTCGAAGTCAAACAGAGGTTGAGTAGGTCCAAAATGTCGTCTGTAGGTGGTGGCAGTTCAACAGTAGAGTTCTTAATAGCGTTCTTAGTACAGTCTAGAGCCAGTTGAAGTGGAATACTGGTGAACAGCGATTTCACGTCAAAGGACACTAGTTTGTGGTCGTCCGGTATCTGTATTGTCTTAATGGCGTCAAAAAAAAGTTCTCAGTAGACTGTAGTTTGTGTCTAGATTCGTCAGTCACCGGTTTCAGTACGTTAGTTAAGTATTTAGACGGTTGGTAGGTTGGGGACCCACAGAAAGAAACTATGGGCCGCATAGGTATGTTGGGTTTGTGTAGTTTTGGTAGTCCATACAGCTTGGGTGGCTGCGGAACACTACACCTCAGTCTGTTGTAGCGTCGAAAGTCGATCTTGTAGGTTTTCTTCAGTGTAAGCAGTTTGTTGTTAAGTTTGCGTTGCAGTGCGGGTGTCGGGTCTCGTTTAAGTACTTCGTAGGTCTGTTTGTCGTTAACAAGCGAGTCCATTTTGTCATTGTAGTCTGTCTTGTCCATAACAACAGTCACCCGTCCTTTATCTGCGGGCAGTATGACTATGTTCTCGTCTGTTTTCAGTCGTTTAAGTGCTTTCTGTTCGTCAGGAGTCAAGTTACTGTTCGGTAATGAGGCTGATTGTAAAGTAGAGGTCACTCTACTTTTGATGTTATCCTTGGTCGATTCTAAAAGGCTTTAGTTGAATTTCGGAGGGTAGCAGTTCCAAAGTGTCTTCAAAAAATACCCTGGCTCTAGAGGTCCGTTCTCGAAATACCTAGAATGAAATAAGCTGCGCTCACGGTTTGCAACAGCTCCCGCTTTGGCGAAAGAAGAGGAGCTGCCATTTTGAATAGATTTCTACTCTCCGCGGAGAAGTTGGTCACGTGATCTCTGCTGTGTGCCAGGGTCTTCTCTCCTGCCGCCGCCATATTGGAAAACGAGACGACCCAGGGGACGAGGTTGCCTCACTGCTGGGGACGTTTTGCGAGAAGGAGCTTCTTCGACTCAGCGACAGAAATTCCATACTGATGACGTAAAATCTGTCCGTAATCCGGTCATAAGCGCTGATTGGACGACGGGGTAGTTGCATTGCTTAAGCTATTGTTTAAGAATGACAGACAAAAGACAAAAGGCTACAGAGGTCAATGTAAACGCGATGAATCTATAATAAAATAGTCAATATTTGTGGAATATATTCTTCACTAGAGTAAGCATTTAAATTTTGCTGGAGCTCGTTCGCAGAAGAATACACCACTTTACCAAAATCGACCAGGATAACCGTAAAATTGAACAGATTTGCATTTGGAACCCCCTTACTACCGGATCTATTATGTAAACATTGATTTAAGTCATCAGTGATGGAATTTTTGTCGCTGAGTCGCAGACGTTCCTCCTCGCGAAACGTCCGCGGCGGCGAGGAGCGGGGAGAAACGGCTGTTTTCTAAAGCTGCATACATGATAACTAAAGTCTACCAAGTTTACCACTCTGCAGTGCCAGCTTGTGAAGTTTTGTATCTGCGCTGAATTCTTGAACACAAAATTGTCGGAAAAGTAAATTTTGAGACTCCCGAAGGTGTCCTCACTAAAGCACGAGTTCCAAGCAACATATGTAATCATGGTAATAATGGTTAATAACATTGCAAGCTTTACCTTTGTTTATAAGCTGCAATGTTTTCAAGGATTTTTGAGGCCAAGAAAACGTACAAAGAGTTTCAGTTTAAAATTTGGTTGAAATTTCGAAAGAGTTCCTTGTTTTTGTTGATTTAAAAATTACTGAGACAAGGTTTACTACCATTCAGAGCCCGTTTGTTACTTTTGAATAAACGTTCTGTTCGCAGTCTGCGTGCCACACGTGCACGTGAACAATTTCAATTAAGCGCTCATCTTTTATCCAGTTATGAATATCTCGTAAACCGGTCGATCGATATCAGTCGTTGCATACGCTTTAAATAAATCAGGCGCACCCAACAACTGTTTCCTCCTACATGCATTGAAAACACTTTTTAGGCTTTCCAGAGTATCTTTAGATCTCTAGAAATGAATTCTAAGCGGCGCTATAAAATTTGTATCTGTTGGGTCATCCTGGGGCAACTTGAGTCTTTTCGAATTACAAGCCGGGTTTCAGTACCATTTTCCCGAAAATTTTACTGGTGCCATTTAACGTTTTCCGAGAGTGAAAATTCCTCTCTCCATCATATTTTCGAATCCGAAATTTTTAGGTTTCCTTTGTTTACGAAAAATATCTTAACCTCAGGAGCGGTGATGCGAAAACTTAAACTTTGCAAAATACCGAACAGATATTTTACAGAAAACAATCTTTGGGTTCCCCTGAATAAATCCATAACAATAAGCCCGATGTGCTCCCCGCGACCTTAAACTATGCCACAGAGTCAGTGACTTACCGACTAGTGAAAAACCCTTGTGTCGAGAAAAGTAATCGCCTTAGTTTACCGAGTCAAAAACGAGCCCCTTGCTTCCATCAACTATTTCGAGCCTGGGATCAACTTTCGTAGTTCAATGAAAAGCTCTATATTCATAGTTAAATCAGGTTTGTGAAAAAGCTCGGACTTGACAAGTTTGCTTCTCCAAAACCACACGCTGTTGTCTCCGTTATTAATTTATGAACTATGTCTGTGAAACGTCGGCAATGTAATTTCTATAAACCAAGCTCAATGATCGAGGATAATGACGATCATAAAATAGATCATCTTACCAAATTTTTCACTGAGTTTCAGTCTTTTCCCTGGCTTGTACATTACTGATTTTTTTTTTTTTT